GTAAACTTAGTAAGTTCATATTATATTATATTAAGGGGCTTTGCTATAACACTGTTATGGCATGATTTATAGATTCATTCAATTACACTATCCTGCGGAGGTTTTGAATAAAATGAAACATAGTGTTTCCGAAATAATGCTGAGCACGTATCTTCCCATCACGTTATGTTTTCGAAAATAAAACAGATTAGTGTATTTCAGAAATTAAAGGCACCGTGCACCCTCAGCGCACTAGGTGTGTACATACATATGCGCAGACATATAGACGAGCCGACAAGCAGGCGGCCACTGGAGTACTGTTTTCTATAATTACAAGTAAACATTGTACAAACACCGTGCCGTATAAGTAGCAGAATCGAATCCTACCGTATGATTATCTGACTACTTTTTTAACTATTAACTACTACATGATGTACTCCTCCTCCGCCCCTGTCTATGACTGCCCAACCACCACCCACGGCAAAGGCTATAAAAACATTTCTTTACCAGCTGGAACGCGGACAACCGGAGCGAGGAGCTGATCGGCCAGCAGCCCAACGTAGCAGGTGGTATTAATTAATATAATTTATTAGTTAACATTGCTTGTGTAGTACTTCTTCCTATTGCCTTCTCTGTTCTTATTACCCTTGCAGCTTCGAGGCAGAGACGACAACAGCAGAGATGGCTATTCCTTCCTCATCTGACACAGCAACAAAAACATAATCAAATGGCTAAACAGAACCTAACAAACTAAAGGTAGCGGAAAAACCCAAACCCGACAAAAGAGCGAGAACGAGTGCGCACTGCTATCCGAGAGGTGGTTTCTATGTGTACTTATGTTTGTGCATACAAAAAGGTTCATGTTTGGACATGTTAATAAGCTTCAGCGCATTATGCATATAAAGTATTTTGTGTTTTATGTTCAATAACTCAAATATGTATGTTTTTTTCTATAATAGTATATAATTCAATTATATATGTAAGTATGTACTTCTGGTCTTATATCTTTATGCTTTATATAACTACAGATAAATAAATTCAATTACTTTCTGTGTTTATTTATATAAAAAATACAGTGGCTCACATCCAAAGTAATGCAGCTGTGTAAGAAATAGTATAATAAGTTTCATTTAAAGACTAAATAAATTTTCCAAGCACCGTGAATGCCATTATTGTTTATTTTATGTAATTTTCAGCAAAAACAAACTGCACTATTAAATTTTACCTCACAGCGAAAATGATGCAGTAAAAAAAATTAATAAATTTCATTTTATGCATGGATTCCACTAACTTCTTCGTGTAGTATTGAAAAATATTGTTCCTCTGTGTTTGTAGGGTTTTTTTAAGTCGGCTTGATTTCGAATCTCCAGTTGGAAAACTGACCACAGATTCTCAATCACATTCAAATCTGGACACTGCGCTGGGGTTTGTACTATATGCGGACAGTACAAAATAAGCCCACTTTGCACAACGCCTGATTTGGGGATCGCATCATTATCATGATAAATAATAGCGATACCTGTCACGAATATTGAATTTTGAGCCGCTTCGCATAAAATTTCATTTTAAATATCCACACTAATATTGATAAAACCAAGTTTCCAACTCCAGAAGACGACATGCATCCCCATACTATTGTGTGCCCTCCACCATGTTTTACAGTGCTACGTAAATTTTGCGTCTCTAACGCAGAATTTGGTTTTCTTCATACATAGCTCTTTTCATCTGATCTAAAAACGTTGAATTTACTTTCGTCCGCAAAAATTACGGTGTCCCAGAAAGTTTCATCTTTAGGTAAATGGTCCTTTGGAAGCTTCAGCCTTGCACTTTGATTTTCAGCACTGACATATTTCTCTTAGGATTCTTCGTATGGTTTCTAGATTACAGCTTTTTCCAAGATATTCTAGCACTTCTTTACCTGAAGCTGGAGCACTTGAGTGGAGGTTTTCGCATATTTTCCGTATAATACGAGGTATGTTCAAAAAATATCCCGAAATTTGTGTTTTTTCAAAAATTATTTATTTTTTCATGAACATATATATTGTCCCCTTCAAAGTAATCCCGATGAGATATTATACACTTGTGTCAACGGTTTTTCCAATCTTCGAAGCACTTCAAAAAAACGTTTTTTTTATCTTGTTCAGCTCCTCCTTCGATGCCGTCTTTATCTCGTCATTCGTAGCGTAACGTCATCCTTTCATGGGCCCCTTCAATTTAGGGAACAAGAAAAAGTCACAGAGGACCAGATCTAGGGAATAAGGTGGCTTAGGCATCATTAGTGTGTTGTTTTTGGCCAAAAAGTCGCGCACAAACAACGATGTGTGAGCAGGGGCGTCATCGTGGTGCAAAAGCCAATTTTTGTTCTTCCACAAATCCGGGCGTTTCTGGAGGATCGCTTCGCGCAAATTGCGCATATCTTGCAGGTAATATTCCTTATTGTACCCTGTGGCAAGAACTCATGATGCACTACGCCCCTGCAAGTAATTTTTTCGTCTGTTGTTGAAGTGCTCGGGCGTCTGGCACGCTCTTCGCCGTTCACATCTTCTCGGCCTTCTGAGAACATTTTATACCACCGATAAACGTTGCTTCGGTCCAAGGTAGCTTCTCCGTATGGCACAGTCAACATTCGGAATGCATCCGTGCATTTAATTTCGTTTTTCACACAAAATTTGATACAGGTTCTTTGATCAGCTTTTTTGGATGGGTAAAAATCGAAGACCATCAAAAACACGTGCAAGCAAAGCAGCTGTCAACAATTAAGTGAACATTCAAAATGGCCGAGCTTGTCGGCATAAGTGACAGACATGAGTACCAACAAAACGCCACAAAAAAATACGAAATTCGAACAGTTCCTTGACACAATTTCACCATTTCCGCGATTTCGCGCTGACTTTTACTATCTTTATAATTTTTTAGGATTAATGCGCACACCACAATATTTGTTTGGCGACCCGTTTTGATATACACTCAACCAAAGCCAATAATATAATGTCAAACTTATCATATATTACACCAAGTTCGACGGTATTTATTTGTCGACAAGACGCCGCCGATAACGGTAAATCTTTGTGCATCATTTTCGCTAGGTACAATTTGTTAGTGAAGTTTCTTTTTGTTGCAAATTACATAAAATAAACATAAAATATAAAATTTTAAAGCATAAATGAGATTTGTATATCTGCCCCTATTGACTGGCATTCATATTTTATTTAATTTTTAAATAAAACTTATTATACTCTTGCTTACACAGCTGCATCACTTTGGCTGTGCGCCATTGTATATATGTTGTGAGGTCACCAAAAGACTCGGACGGAAGACATAAGAAAAATCCATAATCGAGTTAACGCAGCGAAATTCCCATTAGTCTTTTCTTTTGAGCAGACCTCCTAATACATTTAGGAAAGAACCGAGGAAAGTATTGGGTTGCCCAAAAAGTAATTGCGGATTTTTTAAAAGAAAGTAAATGCATTTTTAATAAAAGTTAGAATAAACTTTAATCAAATATATAATTGCTTTTTTGTTTGATAACCTTTTGCCGTCTTCCTGGCAAATATAGTATTCCATGCTCATAGAACTTCTGGCCTTTATCTGTAAAAAACTGAACCAAGTGCGATTTTATAGCCTCATCATTGCCGAGAGTTTAACCATTTAAGGAGTTCTGCAAAGTTTTGAAATAAATGGTAGTCTGATGGTGCAAGGTCAGGGCTATATGGTGGATGCATCAAAAGTTCCCAGCCAAGCTCACTCAGTTTTTGGCGAGTGACCAAAGATGTGTGCGGTCTAGCGTTGTCCTGGTGGAATATGACACCTTTACGATTGACCAATTCTGGTCGCTTCTCCTTGATGGCTGTATTCAATTTGTCCAATTGTTGACAGTAAACATCCGAATTAATCGTTTGGTTCCTTGGAAGCAGCTCAAAATATACGACACCCTTCCAATCCCACCAAACAGACAGCATAACCTTCTTTTGGTGGATATCAGCCTTTGAAGTGGTTTGAGCTGGTTCACCATGCTTGGACCATGATCGTTTTCGACTAACGTTGTTGTAAACAATCTATTTTTCAACTCCAGTTATGATTCGTTTAAAAAACGGATCGAATTCATTGCGTTTAAGGTGCATATCACAAGCGTTGATTCGGTGTGTTAAATGAATTTCTTTCAATACATGTGGTACCCAAATATCAAGCTTTTTCACCAGTCCAAGACTTTTTATGTGGTAATGAACGGTTGATTTTGGTATATTTAACTTCTCTCCTATCTCACGCTCAGTAACATGACGATCCAATTCGGTTAATGCTTTGATTTGGTCATCATCAACTTCATTTGGCCGACCTGAACGTGGCTCATCTTTAAGTGAAAAATCTCCAGACCGGAATTTGCGAAACCAATTTTGACACTGTCTTCCTTTTAAGGCTTCATCACCATATACATCTCGTAACTTTTTAGCAACCTGCTCCGCGTTTTTTCCTTTACGGAAATAATAAAGTAAAATATGACGAAAATGCTCCTTTGTGGGCTCCGTATTAAAATAGACGCCAAACAAACAAATGTAAACGAAATTTCGCGCACTTTTTTTCTAAAGCAAGCTAAAAGTAACAGCTGATAACTGACAGAAAAAAGAATGCAATTACAGAGTCACAAGCCGCTGAAAACATTTGTCAACGCCGACTATATGAAAAATCCGCAATTACTTTTTGGGCAACCCAATAATTTCAGATCTCTTAATTACATAAATTGATATTTCAGCACATTCTGAAATACATAGTATTTTATTTTTAGACCATACGCGCCCAGAGATATAGTAATACTAATAATATAACCTAAAAAGCGTTTTTTTTTGTAATTGAAAATTCAAAAAAAAAAAATAGGTGGTTATTTTAAGAGTATTTGGCCTAAATCAGAAAAAACAGAGAAATAAATACTCCGAGACCAGATCAAAATCATTAGTGTGGGCATATAGTCGAACATATGTATCTAATACTTTGTATGTATGAGCTTATAAATATTGACGCAATATAAGTTTTTATTGGGCGCATATATGCGTTTGATGAATATGTTGATTTATATTTATTTGTATATCTGAAGTAATTTATTGGTTAATAACAAATTCTTCAAAATTTCTTATATTATGCAGTCTAACTTTTATTGGTCGTCATACTATTGTATGGGCAGTTCAATATAATTTATTAACTTCCATTCTAAGCTCATATGCATTTGTAGGTACATCAAGAAAAATTGTCGAAATCAAATCTAAGCCACTAAACCACTGAATATGCTGCGTAGTTAGCAATACCACACAAGTTCTTGCCCTTTCGCAAGCGCATATAGCCATCTTCTCCCCACAATTCGCCCCACCAATTCTTAAGAATCCAATATTCCTTCGTATAGCCTACAACAAGCATCGCGTGGTTAACTGTATCCGAAGTGCAAGAGTCGTCATCATAAATGCCATCGCTGAAAGGATAATATTTTTATAAAATTTTAGTGCACAAAAGTCGGCTAAAAATTGGTAGAACATCAAGAAGATAAATAATTAATTATTATAAATTTTCGATAAATATTAAGAATTTTTTTTTGTATTGTAGAATTCAGTTTTTGAATTTAAGTATTTAGCAATTTTTTTGGATCACTGAAAACTTACTAGCAAAATTGTTTAATATCAGTACTATTGCAAAAATCGGATTCCATTGTTTTGACATTTAGGTTTGGCAATATTGAACACAAAATTTTACCTATATAGCTGAAATGTCCGCGGGGTGGCGTTTATGGAAGTTGATACCGGGCCAATATGAGCCACTGCTGCTTCAATCGCTTTCTCATCTTTAGCTGGTAGAACTGCCCACGATGTGACATTCACAACAGCTAGTTCTGGAGCGAATTGGCATTTTCCTTTCTATTCAAAATGAAACCAAATTCATGTTAGATATTATATTGTATTTCGTACGGAAAATACTGAAAATCGTAAAAAATATCGCAGAGAATTCACACATCACATATCATATTATAAAAGTACTCTATCTTGCCTGCTTTTCTCGATCTCTCTGTGAGTTGATCAGTTGACAAAAATAACAGACCTTCTCCTTCGTGATACTCCCGACTAACATGTTAGGAAAGGCAAGACGAAATACGTCCTTTCGGATAGTAAAAATATTTGCACGTATTTAGTTATTGCTACTTATAACCTGGTTGCATCAATATGGAATAACACTGAAGATTGCTATAAATCTAGCTACCAAACAGTTAATCGAAACATTTTCCAGTATTTTTATCAAAAACAAAGAGTAATTATATATTTAGTCAGCTGCATCCTCATCTTTTGGTGTTTTCAAAATTTTCTAGATATTTGTTTTGCAGTTAAGCTTGTCACACTTACGTACATATACATATGTATGTTATAACGAGCCCATTGGACTTTGTGGCTACTTTTGTAAAACATATACGCATTTATAGCCGAGTTAGCCACATTTCTCCATTATTATTTTTTGCCAATTAGAAATACCAACTACAGCTGAGCTTTTCTCTACTGGTTTTTCCAACGGAGTGGAGGTCTTCCTGTTCCTCTGCTCCCACAATAACCAGATTGGGCTTGTATTTATATCACTAACATGCTATTCTTTATTAATTAAAGCGCCATTCATCCCTTTTTTGCTCTGTTTGGTGAAAGTTGGAAATACCAAGTGACGCCAGGTCACTCTCCAACAGATCCTGAACTATGTCAATATCATTATATAGCGCGTACAGTTCATCGTTCTATCGTCTGCCGTATTCGCCGTTGCCAATGCGCAAAAGACCATAAGTCTTACGCGAAACTTTTCTCTCGAAGACTCGCTAAGCCGACTCATCAGCTGTTGATGTCGTCCACGTCTCAGCGCCACATAGTAGGACGGGTATGATGAGCGAACTGTAGAGTTTGGTTTTCGTTCGCCAGGAGAGGACTTTACTTTTCAATTGCCTACTCAGTCCAAAGTACCACCTGTTGGCAAGTTTGTTAACGGCGCTCAAAAAAGCCATCCTTGGTCACATCGTCTTTGTCTTCCGTCGGGGCGTGGGCGTAAATCAACGATATGTTAAAGAATTTCGCTTTGATGCGGATTGTGGCGATACCTTCATCTACCGGAGTGAATGCCAGTATTCGGCGACGGAGTCTCTCCCCCACACAAAATTTGCGCTTCTTTATATGGCCGCTGTAGTCAATTCAATCAAGGGACCACATATCCAATGCAAATCGCAATCCTGAAAATATTTGCAGTATATACATTTTTTTCATTGGAATTTATTTTCATGTGGTGGTTTCCAAGCCATATGCAAAATAATCGTTTCTGGCCACTCCCAGGTGAATAGCAGACAAAAAATTTCATCACTTGCATGAACTTCTACACATGGACCCATCCCCCACCTTGTTCAATTTCGTAAAGGCCAGCGTATTAAGTGTTGGTAAAGGGTGTCTGATTCAACGTGGGGTACACACGTAAGAGTTGGGGCTTATTAAAGCTTGCTGAAGATGGCGTAAGCTGAGCACAATTCTAGGTTAGAGGATTGAAGGTAAGTTAAGAAAAAAATTCAGTATCTAAACTGACACCTTATTTTAAAAATTCGGCACCAATTTCTAAACTATTCCATGCACTAAGGCAACATGGAAGGAAAGACAAATGTCAGAGTCGGAAGAAATGTGGTATGTGGCATTATTACTTCTGTTCACTGTTTTTTTCTTTCTTTATTAGCGGCAGGCAAATAAATATAACGGTGAACATAGAAACCCTCCCTGGTGTACTCCTTGATAGACACCTAACAATGTACAATAATTACAACTTAATACATATAAAATTTTATAAGAATAAATTACCTACATTATATCCTATTCAATTTACCTTTGAAACATATTTGTAATCCTTCTCAAGCATTAAACCACCTGTCGCTTGCAAATATGTAAGTGTATTGCGTAAAGACCCACCAGTGCAACCCTGATTACCAAAGGTAACACTGCAATCGACGATTTGTTGTGGGCTGAAAAATAAACCATTATTATTTTCTTTTTTTACTTTAGCAATGTTTTTTCATCCCTCTATTTTGTCTGAGTCTTATTTCTTTGTAATGACTTACCTGAGGTGTAATAAACGTCCAGTTCGTTTAAATATCTGCCCCTCGATACTCTCAGCTATACTAAAAGCGTAACATGATCCACAGGTTTGTTGGTTATCAACTTGCGTTCCGAAACCTGTTTTTCTCCAATCTATTGCTTCTGGCAATTGCTGTATCAACGGTGAACCCACAATTTCTGAATGGAAATCGACTCCTACACCAAAGCGTATACTTCTTAACAAGCGTAGAATATTTTTTAGATAAACATCGCCACTCTAAAAATTCAATAATTGAATCCTCTAAGGTTGATAGTGATCATTATCTGCACAGTTTTTTTTACTATTATAACCATAAAAATTATATAAACTTACATTAATATTAATCAATAACTAATAACTCCTTGAAATAAAACCGAGAACTGCTGTGTTCCTCGCGAAGTTGTGATCCACCACTATACATGCGGGATGATAGATACCGAGAGCCAAGGAAGCAAGCAAGTCGCATGTGCAGAGAAAAATAGAAATTGGCTGAAATGCGTGAATATGAAGAGCTTGATATAGCCAGCTTCTTCAAAGGTAATGCTGAAAAGATATGTCGGCTTATAGAAGGTTTCAAGAGCGGCGCAGACTCATGTGCGACACAAAGAGATGAATTTATAGGGCGAACACTTCTTCAGCCTAATGAATGCAAGTGAAAATGGAATATGTGGTGATGCTGAGCTTTTCCCATGAAAAAACTTTCCATTGTGACAAGGTTCGATTAGGGATGACAAGGTTCGATTACGGATTTTCCATTGTAGGAGAACAAAGCAGCTGGAGCTGACGGCGGTGAAGAGCTCACAAGGTGCATGCATCAGATTCTTTGCAGAATATGTACTGAAAAGAGCGATCCTACACTTGGGAAAATCTTAGGGAAGCTCCCAGAAAACGTCCTACCAAACATATTGTGTAAAACACTAAATCTCACAATGAATGATTTGACCCTTATCAGTGTGGCATCATACCTGGTAAATCAACCATTGACCAGATATTCACCATGCGCCAGATCATGGAAAAGACCCGTGAAAAAATGTCGGCACACACCACTTCGTCGTCGTTTTAAAGATGCTTTCGGCAGCACGAACGGGAGGTGCATCCAGTTCGATTACAAACAAGGTTTTAGGCAGAGTGATTCCTCGTCCAGTGACTTTATCATTATATTGCCGAAGAAAATAATATGAGCTGCAGAGCTGAATAGAGAAGATACAATCTTCTACGAGAGTGTACAGGTGCTGACGTATGCCGATAATATTGATATCATAGGCCTCAACAACCGCGCCGAGTGTTATGCTCTCACGAGACTGGATAGGCAAGCGAACGATATGGGCCTAGTAGTAAATGAGGGCAAAGCGAGATTTCTCTTCTCATCAAATAAACAGTCATTGCATTCGTGACTCGGTTGTAAAAGAAAAGATGGGTGCTTAACAAAAATCTTTATCATTGTCGGCTTAGTCTAGCCTCAATAGTGCCGATACCGGTACGGCCGGTACCGATTAGGCGAGTGGAACGGACCTAAACCACCTTGGTAGGATTCGAAATTGCACCAGTTGGGCTTCGGACTCTTTACCTAATCCTAAGCTAAGCTACGTATGTAAACAACTCAAATTTACGTGTATTTGTTCCGCAAGAGAAAGCATCGCTTACGACATACCATCCATCCACTATAAAATGTGTCGAGCTTGTCCAAAAACACTTTGCATTTTCCATCTCAGACACAAAAAATAGATCGAAATCCCTTCTCTCACTAAATGTCGGGCTTGGGCATTTGACATGTGTCTTATACGTTGACATTGATACATACTGTGTGATACTGTCACCGTTCAAAGGAATAACCGTGGAAGTGCAACATTGTCACCCCCAATCTCACTCTCTCCACGAACACACAGTTCCAACTAGAAGCCGCCACCCATATAATCTAAATCCATTTTACGGCCTTTCAAAAAAAAGTAGAGGACCGTCCGTGAGACTTTCAACCATTGAATTTTCCAACCTTCACCAAGCACTTTAAGGAGACTGATACGCCGGCAAAATCGAGGATCACTCCTGATTTTATTTGGGGGTTTAATAAGTTTTTGCACATTTCTAAGATTCAATCGTCAACAACTGTACACTTCTTATGCCGACACCTTTTTGGGCATGAAGATTCTCCTTAGTAAAAACAAGTTCAACAGATCATTCGCATATCTATCCTCTGCTCATACCACAGGACCATAAATATCAAGAGAATTTACCGATTCATTTTGACGACCCCGATATATCCATACATTTTGTTATTCATTTCGTGGTTTAAAAATGCAAGGCTATACTTCGTCATCTGTCAAACTTAACTATTAATTTATGCAATCGAATAAAAGCAGACAGACTAAATCGGTTACAGATCTTGCAAGGCCTGTGCATCATCGTTTCGCTCGTACTACCTCAAACGTCGCTACTGTAAGCGGAGGTATAGCCAAAGACTGGAAGGCTCTATTTCTCAAGTTCCCAAGAGCTGAGACTTTCTTACAGCTCATTATGGCGTATTTTGCACTACTACTTACACCTATCTACATATAAGTTGCGTGTCATTACCGATGAAGTGATTTTCCTCCGAGCTCTTTCTCCAATTTGTGGTATGAATCTTGATATTTTTCCAAGCAACAAATGGAGGGCCAACAATTTATTTTAAGCTGCCTACGAAAGACCGATGGAGTTTTTATTTCATGTCAGAAGTACAATTGATGATCTTGACATTCCTCGTTGAGGGACGATCGCAATTAGAAAAAAAAAATATATATACACATATATACATATATACAATATATATATATATATATAATCGGCGCTTTGTAAACGCTGATGCGATTTTCCGTCGAGTTTCTCCTCTAATTTTTGGTTTTGCGTCTTGATGTTTTTGCAACAAATGGTTTTTTATGATTTATGTCATGTCAGAAATATACTCGGAGGGTTGACATTCCCTGCCGAGAGACGTCGGCAGTTAGAAAACTTAAGATTATCTTATTTTTTTATTTTAATTAATTTTCTATAACTTTTTGGATGTTAGTACGACACCAGGATTAGAAATATATAAAATTGGAAGTATTAGTATTTTATAAATGTGGATATTTGTTGCCACTTGCTTCAAACACAGGCAGTAGACGGCAGTTTTTCGAACAAATTTTTTTTCAGTGAAAAGACAAATTTCTCAATGGCAGAATGCGTAAATAAGCAATATTATCGCGTTTGGGGTTCAAAAAAGTCAAGAGAAACCAGCGCTCTTAGGTCTGGAGGTGTGATTCGACCTTTTTGAAAACGATAATAGCGAGACTGTCACTGTTAATTCGTATCTTTATGATAGTGTGATATCCTCCTTTTTTGACTGGTAATTGAAGAGCACGATTTGGACAATATATGTGGTTTCAACAAGATGGTGCCGCAAGCCACGCAACACGAACGAACACGGGAAACACCGTGTTTACTCGAATAAACCTTTAACTTTTGATCACTTGGAAATTGTCATACGCCAAGTTTTGGCTAATATGCCGTTCAATATGTGCCAGGAAGTATTCAAAAATTACCCTAAATTGATCGAAACTTGCAAGGCGGTCTTTTGAATGATGGTGTGCCTCACATATGTACATGATAGAATGACTTGTAACTTTGCAGAAACTTTTCAACCAACCTGTACATAAGTCTTAATCCCCACTCAATGGTCAAAAACTTATTTCTAAAGTATTGCACTACAAGAAAACTCTGAAATCTAAAATAATATTGTACTTAAATGGAAAGAATTATTCGTTTTATACCATATCTGCCATTATATTTGTTCGTAAGCGGTAACTACTTTCGCCCTTTTCAAATAATTTATTATGTTGTTGTACAAAATAAGTATTTTGTTCGAAAGCTTCCTTGCTGCGAAGTTCTTCGAAGGTATGCATATAACTTTTGTTGATTGCATTCTGAAAGTAAATATGAATTATACAAGATATTGGAATTATGCAAAATTTGAAAATTTTCAATTAAAAAGCTACCCTTTTCACAACCTTCAAGAAAATACTTTGCATTTAAGTCCTTACAATTTATACACACATAATTCATTATAGTGTAATATAATAATGAAATAATTAGCAACGCTGATATTAGGAACTATAAAAGATATGATTCTGTCTGAAAATTGTCCGCTTTGTTAGAAAGATTTAACCGCATTCTCTTAAAATGAACGACGTTAACTGTGAGACCACGAAAGTGGAAAACCAATTGCAGCTTTGGCTGCGGCAGGAGCATGTATTCTGGAAACTCAACTCGCTCTCAAACGAGCGAAGCTCGCCAAATTGACAAATTCAATCGCCGTTATAAGCAGGACTTGACCTCTGCTGGATTCGAGATGAGGGTATTTAGACTGGTGATATGCTCTCTCGACAATGCCCATCCGTTCAATGGAGCAGGGGCTTCAGAAGCTATAGAAGAGCTCCAAGACCATGAAGAATCTGTGGATAATAGGACTCGCTTTTCCTTTTCCACCATCTAATTGAGATCTGGGTACCGCCAGACCATTGTCTTGGGCTATTAGTCGACCGTGACAAAGGGCTGGCAAGGATGAGTTACACCAATGTCAGGACGACGCCAGGATGATGGGGCAGCAACAGAATGTGCATGATACCAAGGGATGAACCTCTTCATAAGATCAGCAAAAAATGAATTATAACCATTTGCGTTGACTGTCATCGAAGCAGCGTGACATCTGCTTGTCCGACTATTTAAAGGTAAGTTTGATATTGTTAGTCCAGGAACCTAGTACTTTCGCATATAGGATCACTGATCTATCCTCACCTAATTTCCAAATTTTTTATGACTTTGGCGGGGCCAGAGAAGGATCTGTATAGTTTTCAAAAACTATTATCTTATATATAAAGAACTATTTTAGAAAATTTGTCATCCAGGGATGTCGCAGTGTTGAAGCAGGTAAACCACACGTCGCTTTTGATCCTCTTTGGGACATAGTATATAGCTTTTTGTCGAAGTTCATTATTTTGATCGCGACCAATGTTAACACTCACCACATCAATGCTGCAGCTAAGATAAAAACAAAAGAGGTGTGTCGCTCTGTAACATTCATTTAACCACTGACCTACTAGTATACAATAGAGGAAGAAAACCAACCTACCTCAACATAAACTGAGAAGATGTTTTAGTTCTTGACCATTTGTGGTGAAGGTCTACGAGATTGTGTCAAATGTTTCTGATAGAGCACTCAGTTTCATATCATCAATATATAAAAAATCAGTAAACCTACACATATCCCGCTATGAGAAGGAATTTCATACGGAATTGGTAGCACTTCGCAAGTCATGCAGAGGTCAATTAAACAACACAACAACACTTGGAAACATACAAAGAACTACTCAAATTGGGATGATTATGGGCATATTACTGCAGTGCGATTGAAGTAATTTCAGAGACCGAAAGGTTAAGATCAAGCGTTTCTATGAGTAGTATCATAATGGACCAACACTGGCCTGGAAATTGATGCTCGCACATCAATAGCCACTTCAGCCTAACCTAACCTAATATTGGAGGTAAGGCTGATTCATAGATAAACGAAATTTTTAACGGCTTCAAAGATAAGGCTACCAACAATGACGTAAGAGACAATACACGCTGACTGTTTGATTGATGTCTGGAGTTGTCCTCGCTCATTACCTGACCCATTCGCTTCGCTTCTTTGTCTAATATGAAGAGAGCAGAATAAACAGAGCGGTTTTTGAGGCCAATGATATCATTTTTATCTGCATACATCAGCAATTGTACGCTGTTTTAGAGGATTGCACTTTTACTATCTACCACAGCATTATTTAGAAAACACTATCTATAAAAATAAAAATACTTCCAGGTCTTTAGTCGTGTTCTCATGAACTTCAAAGTTATAAAAATTTCTTTTTAAGAATTTCCGATATTTAGTAGTATTTGATTTTATATAAACAATGAGTTTGCAATGAAAATTAAAAAAAAAATATTTGTTATTAACTTCGGCCGAAATTCATTTTAACAAACGATAACACAGCGCCAATTATGTGCAAATATTAACTGAAATGAAAGCTCTGTACAGAAACTAAAATGAATTGGGCAAGTTATTTGTTAGGGAGTTTGTCTTTTATTGATATTGTATTATCAAGTCTTTTATTAAAATTTTTAAGAATAGTTTCCCTAATAGTTTTTTTCATTAGCGCTATATGCATATTAATATATTTCAGGAGGAGTACAACCATTATATCTGCACCCAAATAGGAGAACGCTTTTATAAAAATGTTTGCGTCCTCTTCAATGATATTAGCTAATATGACTTCTTATCAAGGGTATCATTTTAATATCAATCCTATTACGAACTTTCCACTCCGATGCAGAATGTGGCGAGGCAAGCATCCACCGCGGTTAATGCCATTACTCGACAATGAATTCTCCCCTCAAATCCAAACCAACTTTGAGCTCCGGCGGGTAAACGCCGTAGTAAATTTAACATTAACTCACCTTCGATTGATTTTGTTCCGTCCATATTTCGGTGATGACGTCATGCTTAACATAAGGTCTCTCAAATGAGACTTTCTGTTTCATTTTTTTTCCTTGGAGCAGACTCTTATGTGGAGGACATCAAACTCTTATTCTTTCTTTAGCCCACCACCAATGTTACATGATAGATGTCAGCCGGAATTTGATCTTACTTTCATCCAGTTTTAAAATCTACTTTTATTTAGCAATGAAAATAACTGAATCTAATCAAGTTGATATTCCAAAAAATCTTTATTTTGTAAACTAACAGTTTGGAAAAGAAAAAAAAAATACAATAATGGTACAAGAAAATATATACAAAAGAAAATCCCAAAAAAGAGGTCTAAAAAAGCGAAAACGGAATATGGGATTGATTTAATTTTTGAATAAAATTAAAATAAAAATCAAAAAACGGTACGATAAAACAACCAAAAATTCAATAATTTCATGGTGCACAAAAAAACGACTAATTAGATTCGCTAGAAATTCAAAATTAAGTTGTTACTTTTTTCAAATCTTAGAGTCTTAGGAAATTTGAGTGAGATTTAAAATTGAAATATGTAGATACATAAAAATGCATGCTTCTTTATTAGACCGGCAAACTTTATTGATTAATAGAAATTTTCAAAATTACGTTCACACAAGCAGATGCAGAACTATACATAGAGATAGTATTATATTAGCAGCAAATTTTTTTGTATGAATCTCTAAGCATAGCTCGATCTTCATATCTAAAATTCAGACCTTGTAATTGCATTGCATAGCAACAAGTAATCAAAATTTAGAATGTGAGTCCTTTTAAAATATACAATACAAGAGAGTAATATTTAAAAGCTCTATTTTTAATTATGCAAAAAAAAACATTGTATTACTTAGAAATTACCTTAAATTCATCAAAGGAATTGTATTCGGTAAAGTGCTCACATTTAGATTTATACACAGCTATTACAATAGAAACCGCGACCCACATAAACTTTGCGAACATTCTTATTATGCGATTTTTTGAAACTGTTCTCTATCACTTTCACGATTAGTATTTAGAACAACCATACACAATCAGCGTTAAATTTGTAAGGTCATCAATTCATACTTTGGAGTTATGTTTGCAAGCCAATACAGTAAATGTGTATATATAGTACTCGTATATTTTTACTAATGAAGCATGAACATTACTGAAATTTAATCATTGAAGTACTTATTGAAGAAAAAGCTGTATGGAACTATGCAAACAAAAAATGTTTAATACGCAAGTCTCAAGTCTGTACCTATAGTTTAGTTGAACGCAATAGAAATCAAAAATATTTGACTCAAAGAAATATTTATTACCAAATCAGCTAAATTACTATGCGAGCCGAGTTCTTGCATTTCCCCTACTTTTAACCAGCTCATCTTATATTTCGTTTCTTACCTGAAATCTACCGAACCGTCAAGAAATTTATGACGATTTGTGGTGTGCGTTTTGATTTTGGTGATTGGTAAGTATAGTGTGACTATAAATAAACCATACAGACCAAGGTTTGAAAGGTGTAAAAAATACAGCGAATTTCAAGATAAGATTCCAAACATTACTCAGAACCTTATTTTATCCACTCCTAATTCATATTGCTGCTCAACTCACTTACTAAACATCTATTATGATATATACATTAGACTTAATTTTTCAATTAGTTTTATTATTAATAAATTATTGCAAGGCCACATATGCTTTTTTATGGAATTCTATTCGCCATTGCCTTAAATCAGACCCACATTAGTTCAGAAAACGACGTGCAATGCCAGTGTACCATAATACAAAAAAGGCTACTAAGCATTTGCTTAGAAAATAATTTCATTTGTATGTTGTATTTGTACACGTATATACTTTTTAACATTTCGTGCACTCTTTTTTTGGTTAAGTAAAACTTGATGAACCAAATACATATGTATGTGCATATACTATAACAAAAAGAAGGTGAAGTTTCAGACATATATATTTATATCATATATGCATACCGATCGATCTTAATGAAATTTAAGTGATATGTTATTCTCATCTATTTTTCACACTAAGAAGAGAGTTTAGGACTGATTTTTCGAAAAGCTTGTATTTATAGCTCGATTTTTTTGAAATTTTATACATAGATAGCTTTTGATTAGTTAAGCAAGAACATTACTTTTGTTTCCAGGAATTGTACCTAGGACCGATCTAATCAAAAAAATCGTTTCTATTGTTTGGATTACTTACTTACTTATTTCATTTGCATAGACACCGCTTGCGTGATTGTAGCCGAATCACAACAATGCGCCATTCGTTTCTTCTTTTTGTTGTTTGGCGCCAATTGGAAATACCAAGTTCAGTCAGGTCCTTCTCTACCTGGTCTGTCCAACGGAATGAAGGTCTTCCTCTTCCTCTGCTTCCTAGCGACGTCCATCGGATGCTGTCATCGTCCATGCTTTCGCAACATATAGCAGGACGGGAACGATGAGAGACTTGTAGAGTTTGGCTTTCGCTCATTTAGAGAGGACTATACTTTTCAAAGTGATATCAGAGAGAAATGTGCCTTTCCAAACAAAGTGGTGTATTGTATATAAATATTGTATCTAAGTAGGATTTACTTTGGGTTCTCTGTTGTAAGTATAATATTTTAAACTTTGCGGTATTGCGCATAATATATACTATATTCCTTGTTACGTTGGGAATGGAACCCTTTTCCCCTATACACGGAATTGTTCGAGTTTTAAATGAATTCATTCTAATCTCGAGTTCTATCCAAGTTCAGTTTCTAAGAATGTAATTGCACATACAAAAATGGTTTTGTAATTTCTTGGTTATATTTAGTCATTAATTATGCGAATAGTATATAAGAAGCCGGTTTTGTTGCTCATATGTAAATTACAGCTGGGTTATACTTCAGTTGTTGTGCGTTTTGCCTGGGGTCCTTGACAACTAACCGTTTAGCTTAGCAAGTTGTTTTTGAGCCACGAAAGGTGTGATTATATTTCAAATATGTAAATGGAGCTATCATTTTTATGAGGCAGTCGTTTTGAGAGCCATGTCACTCAAAAATTCTATAAAGCTATAAAAAATTACACACTCTAATATGTACTTACGGATAGAAAAATGAAACCAAAGCCTGTTACAGCTTTACTTATGCTTTGAAACGAATAATTTTATTTAACTTTTATGTAAGTGATTATATAAAACAAATCCAACTACAATAAAGAATTGACTTCGGAAAGAAATTTATTTTGTACGATTAATAGTTTTCTTTTTTATTTTAATGCATGATTAATTGAGTTCGTAAATGATGAATTATCGAAGTGTATTTTTGAGACATGTGGTTTTCAAGAAGAAATGAAACACATTTAATTTAATGCTATGGGCCACGCCCAAGGCCGAAAAATGTGCTAACCATAAGTTTCCTTAAATAAAGGTCGTCCCCAAAGAGTCATTAAGCTTGGCTCTATAGCCTTGCCCATTGGCAGTTTCCTTTTATAAAGATATAACAACGTCCCAACAACTATTCAAATTCGAAATTTATTTATTACAGTACCCATTAACCCAAAGTGAATATTGGACGAAACGTATTGCTTCGTGCGAATCGATCCTTTATTTTGGTAATAAATTTACCCGATTGGCAAACATTATTCCAGAGTAAGTATGTTCATAATCAAATGGCAAACCAAGCTGAGTACAAATCAAATAACAAATGTCAAAGAGAGGGACTCCAAAAAAAGTAATACCTCATTGAAATACCACACGTCTAAAACACACCCTTTTCTTATATATTTTCACAAGCTCACTGCATGCTATAATAACGGCTGCAGAGTTTAACTTAAATATAATACTTGCTTGAGGAACTAATTAAAAAAATTATAATGCACTCCACTAATATTTGGTGTACCACTGCCCAAATTAACAGGTACGTACGTAGAATCAGGCGTGCATTTGACACAAATACGCTTTAAAGACGGGCGTTTTTTTGACGCATGACAGTGTATAGCATATCGTAGCTCTTCAGCCATTTCAGAGCACAATGATTGGTTTTCAGTGAGCTGAACAGTTTTTTTGGAATGCCAACAAAACTCCAAAATCGCAACGACAACTGCCAAGGCTAGACCGCATAATAATACTACAAAAACCCCACCTTTTTTTTAAATATATACAAATTATTAATGATCTGAAAAGCTTTAACATAATTGTCTCTGGTTTACCTATATTCTCTATACCCAAAGCATTGGCTTTAGATTCCTTGCTTTTTTCGTCTCGATTGCATACATCACCAGTATTTTTCCACCACTTATCGTATAATATTTGTATAATCCCCTTTTCTTGTAACTCTAAGATTGCCAAGGACATAGGATCACGCCAGATCGAACCTTTAGGTGTAGCGATTCCATATCCTTTGGAGTCTAGAAGTCCACCAATTTGTGTTAAATTACAATCACGTTGAACGGCATAATCAAGCATAGTTGACTCCATAAGAAAAGCATAATTTCCTTCTAAAACATGTTTAATTCCTTCCTCGTAGGTCTTTACAAAAACGGATGATCTGCGTTTTTCCATGTATTCCCACATTTTCCGATAAATATCAATTTTGGAATCCTGTTAAGAAGTAAAAATTAAGATATAAAAAGTGTACATACTTCATGTATCCAGATATGTGCATATAGGAGCATAATAAGAACGAAACTTCATTGACCAAAATACAAAATTATATATTTCCGTTTAAAAAGTTGATTAAAATAACTATTTTTTAAACTTGAGGATTCTAGCTCGATTCATTGCTATAATTGAGCAGTTTCTTTACTTTGATGTATGTTAATACCTAATACTGGACCATGCCATAGTTCATTTCATACATTTACATCATCAACACTCCCGCGTCCCAGAGAGCACGTACACAATGAGTACATACATATGTACTTAGATATAATAAATTAATAAGAAACTAAGAATATCAGTAAAAATTTGGTATTCCATTCTGAATATTTTTAAATTATTTTAATGAAGAACCTCCTCTCAATAATATTAAAAACTAATACTCAGATTCGTTCGCGGTTTGCCTCCCGCGTCACTGTTGAGAAGAAGTGCAGAAGAGTGGGCGATGTCGACATGCGATTATTCGGCTTTGAAAGTCTTGCGAACGATTTATTGTCATTTGCTCATTGGCAAAGGCGAATATATTTTGTAGAAAAATACTTGCCAAACACTGTTATAAAAAATTTTGTTGATTTTAGTATTAAGCAATCTGTGTATTGTGTGAGCTCTTTCTAAAGATACCTTGCAAGAGATTCCGTGGAAAAAATAAGGAAAAATCTTTAATTTTTCAACTCACCCAAAGCAGATATTAGTATGAATAGTAAAATATTATAAATAGTCCGATTCACTTGATCGGACAGTTTTTTCTAATGAATGTATCAAACTTAGCAACATAAAAATATCATACATGTAATGTAATGTAATGAATACAACGTGCGAAAATATAATACTTTGGAAAGAAATTGTATAAAAGTGTCGTAGCACCATTATAGTATTCATTGCGTTTCTTAAAAGTTGTTAAAACCACAAGAAATACATTCCGAAGGTTTTGCAGAAAGTGCTTTGAGTCACAAATCGCAATCCAAATGTCCCCTCTCAATATAAGGATCAATGCAAAGCTTATGCAAAGGACTACAAAGTTTCTTCTTCTTTTTTACAAACGTAGACACCGTTTAAGCGAATATAGCCGAGTTAACAACATTGTGGCATTCAATTCTTCTTTTCGCAGCTCAGCTTTTATTTCAATTCAGAAATCTGCACTGCTGACCTACTACTACTGCGGCTGCTTTTTTTTACCTACCCTGTTAAATGCAATAAAACAAATGCGTATTCGGCAAAGGCGAACCGCATCGGATGGTCTCGTAGTTTCAATTCTTGAACCAATTGAACTTTGTACGGTGTCATACCAAGGTCTTTTTTCAAAATTCGCCTAAGGCACGTCTCGGAAATGTCCAATTGTTGAGAGCGACGCTTCACTGATGTTCCGGGCGCCTCATGCACACTCTCGGCCACAGCAGCGATATTACCGGCAGTACGCACTTTTTTTGGTTTCTCACGCGTTGGTTTATCAATAATTGTGCCGGTTTCTTTCAATTTTTTCAAAAGAAAGCGCACATACGGAGCCGACGGTGCTTTGTTACGGCTCATTTCCGTGCGTAATTTTCGCACACATTTTCAAAGTAAAACTGCACTATTTTAACGCGTTCCTCAATCGTATACACAACCATTTTCGTTCAGCGCGAGGATAAAACTAACTTTCTGTCAAATCAGATGTAACATCAGTGTTACCACACTCAAAATAACCACTGGCGGACCCTGTATATACAGATTACTCGGACACTACTACTACAAAAGGTTAAATGTTAATACCCGAAAAAATGTCATCGTGGATCCGCCTTCCAAGGTGCCATACGAAATATCCGTCTGATCAGCTAAATCGGAAGCGCTCTCGATAGGTGTTATCATCCGTTCCACTGTAAGGAATGCAGCTAAATTTGCTGTATATGATGAAATTATGATTAGCGTAAAAAACCACCAAATACCGCCGACAATACGAGTAGATGTTGCCTGTAAGAAATTAGAAGAAAAAACGGAACTATTTTATATAATTGATAAATCGTTGTGCACCAAAAAAAAAAAACAAAAAAGTTGTTTGGCGCCTTGCTACACTTATACAGAATGCCATGTGCATTGTTGTAAAGACAGTATTTTAACATGTCTAAGAATAATTAACCCTAGCGGGTTGTTTGTGTTAAAATCGAGTGGATACCTATACGATCAGAGCTGAAAAAAATTGTTTCAGTTTAATATTTCCACAGTACTTACCTTCGGATTCAAACCGGAACCTTGACGTAGAAAAGTACCCGTAATAAACCAAAAACTATTTGACACTGAAAATTGATTTTCCACAATATCGGAATCTATCAAGCATGGGTGTGGGTTATTCCATTCATATGGGGAAAAACGTGCCATTACGAACAGAGTAAACGAAACAAGAACATATGCTCCAAGTACATATAACCATATTTCCATGGCTAAAGGATTCATGAATGAAAATAGTCGAGTCGGCTGGCTTGTAGGAACCTATAAGTTGTTTAGGGTTAAGTGAGATTTATGATGAGAGATTTAAGAAAATTTATAAACATTAAGAAAATAAAACGTTATATCAAGGTGATTTACCTTGAACAAGATTCCAATTCCTAGATTCATAAACGGTTTAGTAAAATCAATTACGCTTTCTCGAGCATAATTTATGGTCATTGAAGCAACGGCCAGGTCGGCTCGCTGAAAATGCATAAAATTAAAAAAAAAAGAAAACAATTTGAAACCAAACATATGATGACCAGACCCATTTTGATAAAGCATATATTCGATGACATGTAGTATGTATATGCAAACAACACCTCGCATTTTGCAAATGTTCAAATATTGAAAGTTGCTTACTGTTCCAGTCTCTATGTGGTTATCACAATTGCCAAATTGCAAATAATTTGATAACTACCGATGTGCCTGTTTTTATATTCGTAAACAATTATAAGTAATAAGAACTTCATATCAGTTAATCTTCGGCTGTTTTAGGGCGTTTTCGCTCATTAGTCAATAGTTAAGAGCAGCTTTTTGGTGTATCAAACATCACATTTTATAAGCTCATTGTAAAATAGTAAATTTTGGCATACTTTTTCCAATAAATGTTTGTTTCTTCACTTTCACCTTTTTTGATTATTGATTCTTTTCCATTCGATAGTGTTGCGGGTTCTTATCAGCGTGACTCGCGGTATCCACATTTGAGCCGTATCGAACTCGACCATAATCATTAACTTTTATCAAATTTGATCAAGCAGACATCATACGGTATATTTAAAGACAAAGCAAGAAACACAACAACCTCATGAAGATCTAGGCTCATCAAAACAATCGTGCGTGCAAATTTGTTGAGCTTTGTTAAAAATGCGTAAAAGCTGCGCAATAAATTAAGTAAATTGAATTTCCTATGAAAGTTTATTTACTTAAGCGACAATAAAAAGTACTTAAAAATCAGCAAATTTTAACGATTTTGCTAAATACGCTTTGACAATAATAATTTTTAAACAAAAGTCGCAAAATTTATTTTACAATTTATTATTAGCAAAATCTTATTTAACGTATATTTCTCATTCAATAAATCACTATTTGGTTTATCATACACAACGACTTTGACGCTCTACTATCTTCACTTTGTTGCGATTTACGAGTTTACTTTGTATTAGGTTGTCAAATATCTCCCTTCCGCTTTTTTGTCTTCTGAATTTCGCGGCTATGTACAAAGCGGTTCAAAGCTCGTATCTGGCAACACTATACATAATTTGAAAGATCTTGACATAACCTACAAAACAAGGCTATTCATGATTAGTTTGGATATTGCGTTCAACAGTTATAGACGTGTAAACATGGAGTTCACTTACGCCGAAATTCGCGCTATTTTAAAGGTTTCCTTCGTTAAAGGCAAATCCGCTAGAGAAACGTTCCGTGAGAGTAATGGTGTTTTGGGGGATGGTACTCTATCACTTCGAACCGCGGAGCAATGGATTCGACGATTCAGAGACGGTAAAACGACACCATGGATAAGCCAGCCGGCGGAAGACCTGTGACGACAAATACCGTTCAAATCATGGAATACATCGAGTTAGACCGGCATATGGCATCTCGTGAAATCGCCCATGAGATGGGAGTTAGTCATCAAACCATTTTGAACCATCTGCAGAAAGCTGGATACAAAAAAAGTTTGATGTTTGGGTGCCGCATAATTTGACGCAAAAAAACCTTCTGGACCGAATCAACGCCTGCGATATGCTGCTGAAACGGAACGAACTCGACCCATTCTTGAAGCGGATGGTGACTGGCGACGAAAAATGGATCACATACGACAATATCAAGCGAAAACGGTCGTGGTCGAAGGCCGGTGAATCGTCCCAAACAGTGGCCAAGCCGGGATTGACGGCCAGGAAGGTTTTGCTGTGTGTTTGGTGGGATTGGAAGGGAATCATCCACTATGAGCTGCTCCCATATGGCCAGACGCTTAATTCTACCATCTACTGCGAACAACTGGACCGCTTGAAGCAGGCGATCGACCAGAAGCGTCCAGAATTGGCCAACAGGAAGGGTGTAGTGTTCCACCAGGACAACGCCAGACCACACACTTCGTTGATGACTCGTCAGAAGCTACGGGAGCTCGGATGGGAGGTTTTATCGCATCCACCATATAGCCCGGACGTAGCGCCAAGTGATTACCACCTGTTCCTGTCCATGGCGAATGCCCTTGGTGGTGTGAAGTTGAACTCAAAAGAGGCTTGTGAAAAGTGGCTGTCCGAATTCTTCGCAAATAAGGAGGGGGGCTTCTACGAGGAAGGTATTATGAAGTTGCCGTCTAGATGGAAACAGATCATCGAACAAAACGGCACATATTTTAACTAAATCCGATCACTGTAACACTTTTTATAAAGCATTGAATGAAGAGCAAAAAAGCGGAGGGGAGATATTTGACAACCTTATACTATGCATTTTTCGCTCTCTTATATACCCAAATGATGGTGCCGGTGTACGAAATTTGAAACCAAACCAAATTTGAATATTAAAAAAGAAAAAAATGAGAAATCGGTAAAGAAACTGGTATTTCATTACCAATTCAATTCCAGATTTTGTTAACTTCTACTAAGATCTTCCTTGCCGTGTGAGTTGGCTGATACGCATTCGTAATTGAGACGACGCCGTGGAAAAGTCATATTACTCAGTTTGGGAAGTTTCTGGTACGCTCTTACGATAGACAGATTTTTCGATACTCGCGCTCTAGCACGTGATTTAGTCATCAGCATCACCTTTTCATCTGTCATTCGTGTTTGGCGTTTTCAACATAATATGTACATTAATAATTGCAAGCGAGTGAGCATCCACACCGTTCGGCGATCCAACCAAAAAAGAAAAAAGGAATAAATTTTTATAATTTACAAATAAAAATGATAAATTTAGACGTTATTTTCAAAATAACCACGCTTTGCAGAACTGCTGGATCTTTACGCCCTTTCATGTTCTTCGACTGGTGTGTCTTCACGTAGTTCATAGACAGTCTGAAGTCGATCAACAGAAACTAGGATTCACTCTCCTTGGATGATGACATAAAAATATTTGAGTTGGCGTGATATCATACTGTTTCGATTTTGCTGAACCAACCTCGATGATTTTCTGAATCCTTCGAGGACGATCTCTGAATTGTTAAATAAAAAATTGCCAACTTAATTTGCAGTTTCTTTCGTTATAAAGAATTTATCTTATGTCCTTTATTTACTAAGTAATTCACAATTTGCTTTACTTCAATGTAATCTCCAATGCGTTTACTTTACGATTCAATACAAACAAATGGTTTATTCCGCTATACTCTATACTGATGTTGTCGCCAACGAGTTCACTTTGTAACGGACCTACTTGGCAGCTGAGTGTTGCCCTTATATAGCAGTCGGCTGCTCGTAGCCGAAAGCGTAGAATAATCGATATTTTCGCTATCGAAGGTTCTCGTTTAGAATGTACTAGTTATCGGCTTCTCTCTTTCATCTGACATTCATCTCGCATTTTCGCAAGACTGCCCTCCACCTAAGTCTGATCGTTCCGATCAGACACATTCGCTGTTCCAAACTAAGCAAGCCTTTCTAGGTGGAGCACTTTCATCTTGTTTCTTGGCCTCCCAACGGTTTGGATTCGATATTCTACGTCGTTTAGTCGTTTGATTATCTTGTATGGACCTTCCCAACTACATTGAAGTTTTGGGGACAAACCCCTCTTCCGTGGTGGATTGTACAGCAACACCACATCTCCATTTTGGGAACTCTCGGAGTTCATCGCCTTGTCATACCTGGCCTTCATTTGTCACTCATAATTTGAGTTCGCTGTCTCACAAGAGCATGTACCTCTCTTAGCTCTTCCTCGAGATCGGTAGACGTTACCTTGCCAATTCTTCTCGCAACGCCAGTTATTCCAAATCTGAAACCGCTGGGCAACCGTAGTTCACTACCAAACAGTATCCTCGCAGGTGTTTGCCCTGTAGTTACATGCACGGCGGACCGATATCCCATCAGGAAAAGCGGTATATGCACATCCCAATCATCCTGATGCTTGTCCACTACTTTTCGCAAGTGCTCTTCCAGGGTCCGGTTGAATCGCTCTACCATACCATCTGATTGAGGATGTAGGG